TCATTCCTTGTTGATGGGGTCTCAGCAAGGCAAGCCCAGTGGGCACTGGGGTGTGGGTGTTGGTCTGGTTGGGTCACGCTAGGCCAGGCACACTCAGTGGGAGAACATGGTTCCAGCAGCTTGGCCATTCTGCTTGAACATGCCTTAGGTCCCAAAAGGAGCCAGAGAAGCATGTGAGCGAGCTCAGATACGTGCTGAAATCGTCACTGTTTGATAGAACAGTTGTCTGACATGTTTTCAAATATAAAATATTTTGTTTTTACTGTAGAACCTTGGTTGATCAGGAATTTTAGTAAAATCAGAACATAGACCAGTAACTGTTAGCTTTAACCAGAAGAGTCTGCAGACATTAAAACAGCCTCTATTAGCCGGGACCGGTTTGGCTCAATGGATAGAGCGACGGCTTGGGGACTGAAGGGCCCCGGGTTCGATTCCGGTCAAGGGCATGTACCTTGGTTGCGGGCATATCCCCACTAGGGGGTGTGCAAGAGGCAGCTGATCGATGACTCTCTCATCGATGTTTCTAACACTCTATCTCTCTCCCTTCCTCTCTGTATAAAAATCAATAAAATATATTTTTTAAAAAACAGCCTCTTTTAAACTCTTAGAAATCAAAGAGACCTATATTTTGCTAATTATGTGTATTAAATCAAAACCTGCATTTTCCCTAGCTGGTTTGGCTGAGAGGATAGAGTGCTGGCCTGTGGATCAAAGGGTCCCAGGTTCGATTCTGTCAGGGGCACATGCCCAGTTTGTAGGCTTGATCTCTAGTAGGGGGTGTGTAGGAGGCAGCCGATCAATGATTCTCTCTCATCATTGATGTTTCTGTCTCTGTCTCTCTCTCCCTCTCCCTTCCTCTGAAATCAATAAAAATATATATTTTAAAAAACTGTATTTAAAGCTTTCTCTTCCAAATTTCTACCATGTTTGAATAAAAGTACTTTATTACTATGGTAGAAACACCGGATGAAATTTTCTTTTTTTTTTTTTTTTTAAATTGGTTTTAAGAAAGAAACATGGATTTGTTATTTCACTTATTTATGCATTCATTGCTTGATTCTTGGATTGCCCTGATTAGGGATTGAACCAGCAGCCTTGGGTATGGGGACAGCACTTTACCAACTGAGCCATCAGTTAAGATGAGATATTCTTTTTTTTAATTTTTTTAATATATATATATATATATATATATATATATATATATATATATTATTGATTGATTTTTTTTACAGAGAGGAAGGGAGAGAGATAGAGAGAAATGTCGAGAGAGAAACATCGACCAGCTGCCTCTTGCACACTCCCTATCGGGGATGTGCCCACAACCAATGTACATGCCCCCGACCAGAATCGAACCTGGGACCTTTCAGTCCGCAGACCGACGCTCTACCACTGAGCCAAACTGGTTTTGGCTAAGATGAAATATTCTTAAACCAAGTCCAACTTGAGTCTTTTAGAGATTTATGATTCTAAGTGGCTCAGTGGATTCTGAACACTGACTTGGGGTCTCAGCTTATGGAGGTAACATATGAACACAGGCTTCATCCTCAGAATGACTCCCAGCAGGCTCTGCCCTTTTGGAGGGATTTTGTGTCTGGGTCTTGCTTTGTTTAAAGTAACAAGGACTTGTGTGATGGGCTCAACGCTGCAGCCCTGTCTCCCTCTACCTTTCCTTGGTTGTGTGAAGGCGGCCAAGTGAGCGGGGACAGCAGGTGATACTTCTGGCATTTGTTCCAAAGGCAGATTGGAAGTTCTATAAAGCAACAGAGCTTGTATGCTCAGTTACATTTGGAGTTTTTTCGTGTTACTCAAGTGAGTTTGGATCTGTGAAGGGAGAGGCTTGGTTAAAGCAAAGTTCACAAATGCCATTGGAAGTTTGTTTTGAAGGGAGGAGTTTGGAGAATTTCTGTCTAACTCGTGAGTGTCTCATTCTTGTTTTCTTCTTTTGTAGGCACCAGTTTGTAGAAAATAATTTAATACTGAAAATGGGTCCAGTAGATAAGCGAAAGGTAAGTCAGATTCCCACTGCATCTTTCTGTGTATCCCTCCTGGTTCTTTTGTTATTGTTAATTCTCACCTAAGGATATTTTTCCCATTGGTTTTTTTTTTTTTTCCAGAGTGAGTGGAAGGGAGGGAAAGAGAGATAGTGGGAGAGAGAGCCATGTGAAAGAGACACATCAATTGTCTGCCTTCCGCCTGCATCCTGACCAGGGTTGGAGATCGAACCCGTGACCTTCAGTGTGAGGGCCAACTTGCTAACCACAAAGCAATACCAGCCAGGGCTCCTCCCTTCTAGTTCTTAACAGGATCATGCCTTCCTCTCAGGTTCCTGCAGTAACTTGTCGCACATAGCGTCTTTCCTTTTGAGAGATCATCTCTAGATTTGCTAGCTAAGGGAGATTTCAGCTATTCGGCTGTTTGTTCTCAGAAGCCAGGGTTCTGGTGTCTCCACAAGGCTCGGTTTACCAATAAAGGTTCTGTTCCATTGAGGAGGTTCTGCTTGACATCACCACAAGTCATCTAATACTTCATTAGAATTGTTTTTGTTTGTTTTTTAATTTAAAAAAGAATTTTGTTATTGATTTGAAAGAAAGAGAGAAATGTCAATGATGAGAGAGATCATTGATTGGCTGCCTCCTGTTTGTTCCCTACTGGAGATTAACCTACAATCCAGGCATGTGCCCTGACCAGGAATCAAACTGTAACCTCCTGGTTCATGGGTCAGTACTCAACCACTGACCTATACCAGCCGGACCTAGAATTGTTTTTGGAAAATTGTTATTTATTATGTTTTATTATATATTTTACTATGGATTAATTTTATCAAAACATATCAGACTCCATAAATCTGCTGAGCCAAGGCCTCATGAAACCCTTTTCTGACCCACCCTGGGGAGTCCTCAGTGGATGAGAACCTCCATGAAAGTGAATTCTCACAGGCAGAGCTCTGTGCCTCGGAATGGAACAGAAGGCACAAGAAGCAGTGGGGCTGACCGTTGATTGTGGGGCTGTCAGAGTTTGCTTAGCCACAGAGACGTGAGCTGGTGGGCTGCCTGTGCTGCTGTTCCTGCACATGGCAACCAAAGTAAGGCAGTCTAAAATGGGGGTGACGATATCCAGATCGCCAAAACCAAGCAGTAAGTGCTTCCACTTTCTAATCCAAGGCCGGGTCCACATGGGGAATGAGGTGTGCACGCTCCCTTTTTCCCAGGGGAGTGGATAGGTGGCTGGCAGTGGTTCTTGTACACTGAGCTACTCAACAGTCCAGCCTCTGAGGCAGCAGTAAGCACTGTCATCACCCACTTCTGAGCCTTAACCAGCGGGGTCCTTTTTTTTTTTTTTTTTTTTTTTTTTTTTTTTTTTTTTTTTTGTCAGGGTTTATTTGCACGGCGACGACAGTTATTACTTACAGAAGGGCCACACTTATATTATGTGGATCCTGTCAACAAAGTCCTGAAAGGTGAAATTCCATGGTCACAAGAACTCCGACCAGAGGCCAAGAATTTTAAAACCTTCTTTGTCCACACGGTAAGTTTGTCCCTATAGGTTCTCATTCGCAAGGCAGTTGGAGGCCTTTGTACTTCCAGGTGAAGCATGGGGAGGGAGCTGGGGTCACTCCCCCTTTTCCACATGTCAGAGCCCACTTTCATGGCTCGGTCCTGAGTTGGGCTGGGAGATACCTGTGCTTGTTTTTTACTTTGGGGGTGACCTGCGGGATCTGTAAGTCATCACCTGCAATTTTAATATCTGCACGTATGTTCAAGGAAGAAATCCACATGTTCATGTGCTTTCAGAAGTACCTGCAATAGGATGGCAGTTTCTTTCTTCCTTCCTTTCTTTCTTTTAGTATATTTTTATTTTTAAAAATATATATTTTATTGATATATTTTTTTTTTTTTACAGAGAGGAAGAGAGAGGGATAGAGAGTTAGAAACATCAATGAGAGAGAAACATCGATTAGCTGCCTCCTGCACACCCCCCACCGGGGATGTGCCTGCAACCAAGGCACATGCCCCTGACCAGAATCGAACCCGGGACCCTTCAGTCCGCAGGCCAACGCTCTATCCACTGAGCCATACCTGTTTCGGCATCTTTTAGTGTATTTTTATTTATTTCAGAGAGGAAGGGAGAGGGGGAGAGAAACATCAATGATGAGAGAGAATCATCGATTGGCTGCCTACCTGCACACCCCAGTCAGGGGATTAAGCACACACTCTGGGCATGTGCCCTGGCCAGGAATTGAACCGTGACCTCCTGGTTCATAGGTGGGCGCTCAAACACTAAGCCACACTGGCCTCGTGATGGTTTCTTTCTGTAATTTCTCCCGCCAAGTTGAGGTGCTGGTCTTGGGGAGACTCAGTTCTTTGAGAACATTAATAATTTCTTTCTCTGCAGCCAAACAGGACGTATTACCTGATGGATCCGAGCGGGAATGCTCACAAATGGTGCAAAAAGATTCAGGAGGTGTGGAGGCACCGATACCAGAGTCACCCAGACAACACCGTGCAGTGACAGCCCACCGCCTGCCCTCGCTGCCAGGACACGCGCCCCGTGCAGCTCACCGCTCTCCGGGACGCTTCCAGACCACCTGCCAGCCATCTCCAGGGGAATGTAGACAGTGGACCCTTGCAGCTTTTTTATTTAAAAGAAAAGAAGAAAAAAATACCCAACAACACAAAGAACAAAACCAATAATGAACAGGAATTCAGGGTCGCTTTGCTTGCTCTCTGTGCTCTATGGAGGCCTCCCCGAGCTGTCCTTGTTGCCAGGACCCAGTGCTGTGCACGTCTACCTGATTCCCACCCGGACCAGTGGACCAGTGGCACCAGCTCTCCGCCGTGCACCCCGGTCACCTACTGGTCTTGCTGAGACCTAGGGGACAGAGTGTGTCTGGGCTGTTTCTGCCCTCTAGGTTACCATGGAACTCCTCACAGGGAGCTGTGTGTGCTCTGCTGGGGCGGCCTCTGATCTCCATGGGGTGGGAAGGTTCTTAGCCCTTGTCCATGTGCTCTTTTCCTCATGTCCCTAGATCATGGCTCATCCCCTGTGCTGCGGGCCCTTGCTTTCCTCCTGAAGTAGCTCTGGCTGCAGGATTTCTGTCTGCAGGTGCTCCACATGTGACTGCCAGGCAGGCTCCCAGTGGTGAGAAGTGGGACAGGCTGTCGGGTGAAATACAAGCCACTGCCCGCAAGGTTCCGATCCATCATCCCTTGGAGCAGTGTTGCCCTCTGGGGCTGGAGCCCACGCACATGCTGAAGGGAGCACGGTCAGCAGTAAGCCCGGTGAGCCCAGCTGCACCAGCAGACGGCTCTGCCGGCCTCCTGAGACCAGGGCAGCCTGGTGGTCTCCACGTGGAGGAGTGAGACCTGATGAGCCTTCCCGAGGGTCTGTTTAAAAGTGCAGGACTCCCCCAGACCAATTAATTAGGAACCAAGAGACTCCTCACAAGTTGGACGGTACTCAGTCATCTGGGTGGTGGGAGGAGTTGCACGCTCCCAGCCAGTACCCGCACGCACCCTTTTCAATGTTGCGATTGAATATGCTCACAGCCAAAAATTCTTACATCCCAGCAGTGAGAATCTAACGCCTTCTCGTGGTGCCAGGTTATCTGGTCACCGTCAAGTAGACTTTGCCTGGAAAAAAAGGTTAACCCGCCTTGCACTTGAACCCAGCTCCCAGCCTGCTCTCCTTCCATTTCCGGTTCCCTCCTTTCAGTGCTTAGAGGCAGCATCTACCCTCCGGTAGCCTCACATGGTCCAGGTCCTGCTCGTCCTTTGATTTTCTCCGCTGCTGCTCCCCAGACGGTGGGTCTTGGCTGTTCCCCTCCCTTCCCAGGTGTCCCGGGGGCAGCCCTCTGTTCAGTGGGGAGAGAGCCGGCCCTGCAGGCTGCTCCCAGGGGTGAACACCTTTCACCACGGCACTGGCAAAGGCTCCCCCAGGAAAGCCCCTCAGGCTTCCTGCCTGTCCCCTGTCTCACACACTGCACACCTCTGAGGCCGGCGGTCCAGGCGGGGAGGAGAGGCTGCTCACATTGTCTGGTGGTCAGTGTGGCTGTGCTTCACCTGGGAGGGAGTGGGCGTGGGGGACTCACTGCTGGGCAGGAGAGGGCTGAGCAGAGGTTGTAGCCAGGTTTGCTGGTGGTTTCTGTTCGGGCCTGTCCTCTGCTGTGAAATCTGAGGAAAAGACAGCTCGTGTGTGTGTGTGTGTGTGTGTGTGTGTGTGTGTGTGTGTGTGTGTGTGTGTGTATGTGTGTGTGTGTGTGTGTAGGGTTAGGAGCCGGTTTCTGTGCAGCATCTCCCCAGGCGTCTGGTTACAGGGAATGAGCATGGCTGGTATTGGTGTTTAGAAAGAGCACTCAGCTGGGCTACTCACGAGACAAGTCCTCCCTCGCATTCTGCCTTCTGGATGTCGCCACTACCTCCTGGGCTTAACCAACAAGCTCCATCCTAACCTCTGAAACCAGAAAGTGAGGGGCTCAGGGTTGAGTTCGAAGGTGACAGCTAAAGTGACTGCCCTCGCCCGAGCCAGCATGAGCTGAGCCCTTGTCTGTAAGCCAACTTTCTGTTTCACTCAGAGGCCTTTTTTTTTTAAAGGCCCATGTGTATTCTTTTACCCTATACTTCTGCCAACTTTAATTTTATCCAACTTGTCCTTAACAACCATCATCTTGGCATGCAGGTGCCTTACATTCTGAGTTGTGGACAAGGGTCTATGTACATACACAGACATACCTAGAAATATGAATGTGGATTTATCCCAAGTGAGAAAGAAAATGCCCTGCTGTTTAATAGATCCAGGAACCACGTGTCTTACCGAGAGTCGGCAAAGACAAGTCAAACCCAGTACCCACCAACTGGAGACAGCCCCTTACCATGTGGCTGTCTTGGCATGGAGGGGAGGGAAGACAGCTAGGTGGTTCTGTGCTCTTCCCTGTGCCTTGCTTGTCTCCAGGGACATGAGGAGACTGGGTTGGCATAGGATGATTTCCTCCCCTCTCTGTGGACTGTCCAGGGCAGTGGGCAGTGGGCAGCTCCCGGTGGAGTGAAAGCTCCACCAATGATTGGCACCAACGACTGCCTGCTTTTCTGAACCTAACAACTTGTGACAGACTTGCTTTGGAAAAATGGCTCTTGTGGTCATGCCAAAGTTGGTGAGAACTACATCTACTCCAGCCCTCTTGGGGTATTTGTGGCCCAGACCTGAAGGAATTGCAGGAGATGGCCCCAGGGTACACATACCAGCCCAACCCTGGGCAGTGTGCCAGCGCAGGGGGCACTAGGTGACTCAGTATTTTCTTAAAACATTTGTTTTCTAAAACACACACAAAAAAAACAGTAAAGACCACTGTGAACATTTTGGTGTATAACCTATCATCTCCCTGCCTCAAATTCGTTTGCTTTTTTTCATCTAAACTGGGAACATAAAACACGTTTTTTTTATTATTGATTTTTAGTGTGAGAGGAAGGGAGACTTCAGTGTGAGAGAGAAACATCCATCAATTGCCTCCTGTACCCCAACTGGGGGGTCGAACTGAAACCTTTATATGTGCCCTAACCAAGAATTGAACCCTTAACCCTTTGGTTCACAGGATGATGCTCCAACCAACTGAGCCACATCAGCCAGGGCCAATATATACCGCTGTGCATCCAGCTTTTTTCAGTTGATATTTTATCTTAAGCATTTCCCCATATCATGAATAATGATTCAGAAGCATTGTTTTTAATGACTATAGAGTTTGTTATAAGTCTTATAATTTATCTATTTCCCTGTTATAAAATATTTAGATGGTTTCTAGTTTTTCATTATTTAAATAATGCTGTGATGACTATCTTTCTAAATCTTTGATTTTTTTACTCTGACCCTTCTTACCCCCATTCCCACAAGTAGTATTTTTGAGTAAAAGTTTGTTTCAAAGGTGGTATTAATTTATTTCTCTGATCTGATTATTAGATGCTCAGAGTTCTAAAACAGGACCTCCTTAGTTGTTTCCTTCAGATTTTGAAGAAATGAATGAATTCCTGGTAAACTGTATTGAAACCCTTATTCAAATAGTATTGGAATAAGACTGCTCTTTTTCTTTTTTAATGTTAAAAATGATGTCATTACTGCAGTATTTTTGTGACAGATTTTTCCAAAAGTCAGTTTCCTCCTTTTCATTGAAAAAATCTGGTGTGTTTGCATGTTAGTTACTTTCCCACCCCTGCTGCTATGGCTTTCAAGTGCTTGGTGATATTTTCAGAATCTTGTGCTTTGTGTCTACAATGGTACTGAATTTGTATCTGCAAGTCAGGAGATAGAAAGTGCTGAACTGATCTTGCCACATGCTTATTGGGTGATTTGTAATTTGAGTTTATAGACTCAAAGTATGCTGGGCCATTTGTTTTTTGTTTTTTTCTTTAATTCTTAACTATCATAAATCAGTGACACTAAATGCCCTGTATGAAATCAAGGATTGCATTAGATGACTCGAACTCCTGCTGTCTCAGTGGACTCGGCCCCGCTCGCTGTTTTGACAGACCAGGTTGTGGATTAAGCCCTGGCCTAATGTCTACTATATCCTCTCCTATTTTAGAACCGATTATTTGTGAAAATCCTGTCTGAGTAGTTTTAACTTGAACAGCTTGTATCAGTTTTTCAAGCTTATCAAATCGCGCATCTGACATTAGAAGGTGAGACTCTATTTACGAGTTGAGTTTGAATATCCTTTAAAGATTCAGACAGTGATTCAGCACTGTAAGTGTTGCGATGGCATCTTGAGTTGACTGAATTGACACAGGCTTCAAAATCTGCCATACTTGCTCAATGCTTTCCATCTCAAAACTGGAGGTAATAGATGTTGACGGACTTGTCGCCTGTGTTTGTGAGCAACTGTCGTCCTCTGGGGGAGCTTTGGCGCCTGATATGCTGGGCCATTTGGAAGCAGTGGAAAAGCAAAAGCTGTACTTGGAAGGAAAAAAATCACAGACACAGTTGTGTCCTACAGAAATGTGCGTGCCCATCTCCCACCCCCATTCTTCAAATCCTGGGGCTTGTCAGAGGGTCTTGGTTCAGTATAGCACACGGCCAGGCTTTTTCATGACATAAAGTGGTCATCCTGGCTGATAAGGACTTCTCCCCTCCCCTCACCCACCATGATCAGGTTGCCTAGTGGTCTTCATGTTCAGACCATCCACATTCGGTTTCATTCTTAATTTCTCCGCTTTACTTTGGGTCTATTGATTCTGAAGGGAAACATGCATGAGAATTTTTCTAGGTACCATGCTCAGTGGCACATCACTCCGCCAAAGACTGTGGCTGAATTGCCCAGAATTAGGTCTCCTGCCCTCCTCTGAATCTCAAATCCCCCTCCCTGGCCAGTCCATAGACTGAGGATGCAGTCGCCAGGAGCGTTTGGAGACGGTATTGTTCTTGGAGCTGTTGCCATACATACTTTTCCATATTCTTTCTTTCCACATCCAAACCTAACCTGGACGGACGGTGACTCAAGTGGGTGTGGCCGTGGCCTCTTGGGCAGCCTCCGGGCAAGTGCTTTAACCAGGGCAGGAGTCACTGCCAGAGTCTCTGGGGGGCACGGGCTGCTGGCAGGGCTGTGAGCAGGCGGCCTGTGGAGAACTGGTCTGGGGAGGAAGCTGTTCCAGCAAAGAGCAGTTCTCTCTGGTTCAGACAGCTGTGGTGTGCCACTGAGCAAGCCTTCGTGTACCTGCATATCCCCCGTAAGTCATTTCTTCAATACGAGGGAACAACAGACATTATGTACAGAGACATATTTACAAAAGGCAATCCTTTTTTACTTGTGTGATCCACCCTAGTCTAATCTGTCTAGCTGAATGACCATGAGTCGGGTTCATTTTGTGGGTGAAAAGCCTCTATCACCATTATAGGTTTGATTGGACGTCGGCAAAATTTAATTCCCACAGTATTTAGAGCTGCTGTACCTGTTCCTTGATACAAAATCAGACGAGGCAATAGTCTGTTAGTTGTCTTTCAGGGTTGGTGGCAGTCATTTAGAACGTGTGATATTCTCTACCTGGTCTGTAGCTGTAACTGTGATGTACAGGCAAAGCAAAAATTAAAAAAGAAAAAAAAAATGAGAAACAAATAATGCAATGATATTAGGATATACACTTTTGTATTTTTATTCTTATATAAGATTATTTGCTGGCTATTGTTGGCCTCTAATTCAGTCTGTGTTATTTAAAATCTAATATATGAATTATTTGGATTGAATTCATGTTTGGGGCCAGGTTGTTATATGTATTGATGTACAGCCTTGAATGTGAATAATTATTGTAAACTATATTTTACAACTTTTTCTCTGGCTTTATTATATAAATTTTCTATTTGGTCAATGATTTAATCATAA